TAAATTTATTTTTTTTTTTTTTTTTTTTTTTTTTTGATGATCTCATTATATAAAAAAAAAAAAAGGAAGTAAAAAGAAGTTTAAATAATAATATCAAACATAAAAAATATATAGCTTCCAATCTTGTTAAATAATATAAAAATATGTAATGATAAAATAATAAAAAAATAAATTGAATATTTCATTATTCCTTAATTATTCATCCTTCATCTTTTACTTCAAATTATCTACTTAAATAGTAACAAAATTTCATTTATTTTCTTATATAACTTAATAATATTATAATTTTTTAAAATATATTTTCCAACTTTATTTTTTTATTTATTTATTTTTTTTTTTTTTATAAACCACTTTTTTGTAGTTTTTACATAATCTTATATTTTCATTCAAAAAGAATAAAAAAGTTACATTATGAAATGTATATTAAGAAATAAATAAATTGAAAATATAAGATATATATGATTAAACTATTTTTTGCATATTAAAAAAAAAAAAAAAAAAAAAAAAAAAAAAAAATACATTAAACCTAAATAATATAAAGAAATAAAAAAAAATTACAAGAATACTATAAAAAAATATTCACTTTGTAACTTCTAATTCTTTTTTTTTTTTAATTTTTGTGAAATGCTTAATTAAATTCGTATTTTCAAATATTTTGTATTAATTTCCTTAATTAAAAATCATTAAAAGGAAAAATTTACATAAATGATTTTATTAGAATTATCTTCCATTTCGCATGTATGTATTTCCATATTAGATTTTTTTTAATATTATATATAAGTATAAAATAATCAACATATATTTAGAATAATAAATTAATATTAAAAATATATATTTCCATTTAAAAATTAAGAAATATATAAAAATATTTTTATAAAAATAATTATCATGGTATAATTATATTTAAATTTTATTATTTTTATTTTTTTTTTTTTTTTTTTTATGTATTTTATCAGAATAAATAGTATACAATTTAAAATATCATATATATTCCTTTATTAAGAATTTTACTTTTTTTAATTTTATAAAATTAGATTAATATAAAGAAAATTCTAAGGAAAAAAAAAAAAAAAAAAAAAATGAAAGTTTACTTTTTATTTTTTCTCTTTTTACTTTTTTGTAATACTTTTTATGCTTCCATATTGGAATCAATAAAGCATGACCTTCAAATAGTAAATAATCAAAATTTCAACACAATTGTAAATAAATTCAGAAATGAAAAGGTTTTTGTGATTTTATTTTTCAAAAAAACAAATAAAAATATAAAAAACATTATTAAAGATTACAATGATGTTGCAATAAAATATAAAGGGATTATAACATTTTGTATAGCTGATTGTGATACTAATTCCTCTTTATGTGAAAATGAGTTGTCTCTCTACGTGCCTAATTATAAGACTAGTGATTCACATTATTTTTTAGTATATCCAGTTAACCCAATGCCTAAATTTTTATTTAATGAAGAAGTTACTGAAAGTAATATAAAAAAATATACTTATTTAATTCCATCGAAAATAGAAATAATTAAAGATGAAAAAGACTTAAATGTTTTTATTTCAAAACATGAAAATATGCCAAAAGTTTTAATTTTTAGTAACAAAAAAAAACCAAACTATGTTTTAAATGCTTTGAGCAATAGTTTTAATAAAAAATTGATGTTTTGTTATATTAACAATGAAATGCAAGATTTAGTTAAAAAATATAATATTAAAAATTTTCCAAGTATAATTATTTTAAAAAAAAATAAGGTAATAGATACTTATAAGGGAAAACATACTTATATTAATATTTTTGACTGGCTAAATATACATTCAGAAACGTTTGTTCTTGGTGGTGGTTTTGATATTTCTCCAGATAAATCAGATGAAAAACCATGGAAATTTGAATTGATTCCAAAATTTACAAAATTATCTCATGGAGATATTTGTTTTAAAAAAGCAGACAAAGGGTTGTGTTTAATTTATTTAAAAGAAGGAGAAAAATTAGAAAAAAGTGAAATTGATATGCTTCTTTCTTTAAAAGAAAAATATAAACCACATATAGATGGGAGGTATACTAAAAAAAAAAAAAAAAAAAAAAAAAAAAAAAAAAATTAATAATTTATATTAATGTATAAATAAATATTTAAAATTTTAATATATGATAATATATATTTTTCCGTATTTCCTTTTATATATTTTTCCTTATTTCTTTTTATATATTTTTCCTTATTTCTTTTTATATATTTTTCCTTATTTCTTTTTATATATTTTTCATTTTTCTATTTTCTTATTTCATACATTATTTGTTTTATTTTTTTTTTTTTTTTAAACAGAGGAATTAATTTTAGATTTATGTGGATAGATATAGCTATGGAAACAAATTTTCGATCGCTTTTTGAATTTAATAAATATCCATCTGTTGTTGTTTTTAATCCTTACAAGAGAATTAGATATGCAAAACTAAATGAAGATTTAATTGCTACTCAAGAAAATATTGAAAAACTATTAGAAAAAATATCAGGTGGGGATGCAAAATTTACTATGTTGAAAGGACAGGTATTACCAGAATTTATTCAAGACAATGAAAATAATAAAACAAATGAAAAGGATGAATTATAATTTATACATATGGATTTTAATTTTTTTTTTTTTTTTAATGAGTAGAATGTATTTTATCATTCGTATATTTTAAAAGAAAAGTTATTCTTGTGGTTTTCAATATATGCTTATATTTTTATGTTATTAAAAAAATAAAATATATGATTATGAATACACATTTATTTTATTTTTTTTTACTAAAAAAATGAAAAAACATGAACTTTGAATGTACTCAGAAAAAAAAAAAAAAAAAAAAAAAAAAAAAAAAATTTTCCCAATTTTCTTTTAAAAAATTTTCCCCAATTCTTTTTAAAAAATTTCCCCATTTTCAATTTCCTAATTCCACCCCCAATGGGGTTAATTTTTTTTTTTTTTTTAACCGGGGGATTAATTTTTGATTTTTGGGGGAAGAAAAAGGCTTGGGAACCAATTTTCGGCCCCCTTTTGAATTTAAAAAAAACCCCCCCGGGGGGGTTTTTAACCCCCCCCAGGGAATTTGGTTTGCCAAACTTAAAGGGGGTTTTTTTTTTTCCCCAGAAAATTTTGGAAAATTTTTTGAAAAAAATTCCGGGGGGGGGGCAAAATTTTTTTTTTTGAAAGGGCCGGGTTTTCCCGAATTTTTTTCAGGCCATGGAAATTTTTAACCCAAAGGAAAGGGGGGATTTTAATTTTTCCCCAGGGGGTTTAAATTTTTTTTTTTTTTTAAAGGGGGGAAAGGTTTTTTTCCTTTGGAAATTTTAAAAAAAAAATTTTTTTTGGGGGTTTCAAAAAAAGGTTAAATTTTTTTGTTTTTAAAAAAAAAAAAAATTTGGTTTTGAAAACCCCCTTTTTTTTTTTTTTTTTTCTAAAAAAAAGAAAAAACCTGAACTTTGAAAGTTTTCAGAAAAAAAAAAAAAAAAAAAAAAAAAAAAAAAAAATATTAATGAATTTTTATTTGTTATAGTATTAATAAAATAAAATAATTTTATACAGGAATTTCTTTTTAAAAATTAAAAGTACTTTATTAATACTTCTATTCTCCAAAAATTATCGATAATATTCAAAAAAAAAAAAAAAAAAAAAAAAAAAACAAATACAAAAACAAGTTTAAGAAAATAAACAAAAATAAAAATGTTAAATATACTAAAAAAAAAAAAAATAATAAAATAAATAAATACTTAAAAATATACCATAAAAAAAATAAAATGAAATAAAAGTAAAATATTATGGTTCTATAAAATGTTAATGATGTAAATTATACTTTTTAATCTTTAAAAATATTCATAAAAAACATATTTCTTTTTTTTAAGATATTTTTTTGTTTTTTTTGTTTATTATAACAAACATCCCATAATATTATCTTTTTCTTTAATTATTGAATACTTTCTTTTATTAATATATATTTAAAAAAATAAACAAATTTTATTTAATATTATTAATAATTCTTTTTTTTTTTTTTTTGTTTCTTCTTTAATTTATAATTGATTCATTATGTATTTTTTTACATCCCAACATTTAATTGATTGATCCCATGAAGAAGATAAAATAATATTATTAAACCATTCCATTGAAGAAACTCTACTTCTATGATTTAGCATAGATAAAGTTGAGTTTTTTAATTTTGTTTTTTCTATAGAATTATTGACTAAATCGTCATTATGAAATAAATTTTTAATGTTGGAATCATTTAATTTATTTAAAAAATTACCAGTATTCTTTATTATTTCATTAGATTTATTTAAGTTAATTTTACTTTTAAATCTTAAATCATAATTTTTATTAGCGGAAGAATGGACTGATGTAAGAAGATTCGACTTATTGTGAGGTTTACTGTTTTTTATTTCTAATTTATTTATTTGTAGATATGTATCTTTTGAGTAATCATTAATTTTTAAATTATTTAAGGAATTTTTATTTGTATTTTTTGTTTTTATGGTATTAAATAATTCATTTCTTGAAACAACTGATACTCTTTCTTTATTTATATTCAGAACATTGGGTGTTAATGTTCTTTTTTTATCAGTAATAGCTTTTTCACCCTTTTTATTATTATTTTTTAAAAGAAGAGATGATTTTCCATAAGTACACTCAGATGCAATAAAACTTGATCTGTTATTAGTTATGATATTCTTATTTAATTCCAAGAAATTTTTACTAATTTTTCTACTTTTATTGTCTTGTAATTTTGTATTTAAATTTTCTGTATAGGATGGAGTAATCGAAGTAGGAATTAAAGAACCTGAAATTTTATTTGTTGATTCAATATTTTTATCTATCTCCCACAATTTTATACTTCCATTATCAGAAGAAGAACAAAAATAAAGCAAATTATTAGAAAAAGATAAAAATCTAATTGGTGATGTGTGTCCAAGGAAAATTTCTAATGGCTTACTTTCATCAAGAAATCGTAAATCAAATTTTTTTATTAGACAATCGGACCCACCTGAGTATAAATAATTGTTATATGAAAATAATGTATTAACAGAATATTTTGAATGTAAGTTATTATTTTGATAAACAGGCAAAGTATATCTAAAATCAAAAAATAGAACATTTCCTTTACGTGTGCTAAAAATATGTGTTTTATGATTAATATTATATGTGCAATAATTTAAACAATCATCTATTTCTTCATATCTATAAATATTTTTTTTTTTATTTAAATCTATTAAACATATTGAACCATCTTTACATCCATAAGTAATTTTATCCTCTTCAAAATAATTCATGCAAAATATAGAATTACATTTACTGACTAAATTTTCCATAGTTTTATTTCTTTCTATATCTATTAAACATATATTGTTATTTTTGTTAGTCAAACCTACACACAGATATTTTTTCTTCTTATTATAACTAGAACATAAAATTGGATATTCTAATTTTATGTTTCTTAAATTTTTTTTATTTTCTAAATTCCACAATGAAACATAACAATCATGAGAAACTGTTACAAATTTATTTTCATTTATTACATGTATTCCTTCTATAGAATTATTGTGTCCTTTAATACTCCATGTTGGTTTTATATTAATAGGAAATTTATGATCAAAAAAATTTTCATTATTTTCTAATTCAAATATGTAATCTTCACTTGATAAATAGTTTCTAATCTCCATTTTACTTTATTTTATTTTTATTAAATATATATTTTTTTTTATATATTTATTAAAATATAGAAAGATAATTTTAATTTAGTTTTCACTTATTTTGCTCTTCTACTTTATTAACTTTTTTTTTCTTAATTTTGCAAATATTTTTATGAAAATTTATAATAAATTAATTTTTTTTCTTGTTTTTTTTTTTAATATATCTATAAAAATGTACAATAAGTTATTTTCTTCCTTTCTTTTTCTTTTATTTATTTCCTTTTTTTAAGAATATTTGAATTAATATATAAAATTATTAAAAAATATTAAATAATTTCCATATATATATATATTCATATATTATCTGATTAATGTTTAAAAAAAAACATTTATTTTATATATTTAGACAAATGAGTGTTATAATAAGGAAAATGAAAAAAAAAATTATAATAAGATTTAGAAGATATAATTAAAATAAATATGGAAATTTCTCTACATAGTTAATATATATATATATCGACATATAAATATTTGTTCTTTTTTTCTTTAATTATATATTTAACTTTTTTTATATTTTTCTTTCTATTTTTATATATATTTATAATTTTTTTTTTTTTTTTTACACCTTAAATAAAATTGCTTTGTTATTTGTATTGAAAGTAAATCATGAACTAAATAAAAAAATATATTAAATTAAGCAAATAAAAAATGAATTTATAATTTTTTTTTTTTATTTTTTGAGAATCTACTAGAGTAATATTAATTTTTTTAATTTTCCAATGTGTCTAATAGGTTATGAATTTCTTTTTTTTCTATTTTATAATATCATATCATTGACATAATATATTTTTATAATAGCATTTAACTTTGATAATCTTTAGAAAATACTAAATAATATTTATATTAATATAATTAAAATCCTAAAATTTTATAAAATAAAAAAAAAAAAATGAATTGCTTTATTATATATATAAGAATTAGCTACAATATAATGTTTTTTTTTATTCCTTAAAATTAATATACAAATAAGATTTAAAAAATATATTTTTTTATATATCACTTAAAAAAAATAAAATATTTCAATAAATATAATAAATTTTATAATTTAAATAATTTCATTAAATATAGCTATTTTTATATTTTTTTTTAAATGCACCCTATTTTTGTTTTCATTTTTTTTCTAAATCCAAAACTTATATAGACTTTCAAATTATAAATATACATTTTTAATTTATTATCAGTAGTTAGTTTTTATGCTTTTATTTTTTATTTAACATCAGGATTACTTGTAGAACATATTTCTTTAATTTTTTTTTTTTTTTCTCTTTATTTTCTACATTTTTATTTATTCTATTTAAAATTTTATAATTTTTAAATATTAAATTTTATCATATAATTATTTATTTTTATTTTTGTCTATATTTAAGTTATAATTTACAATAATACACAATTATATTACGTTTATTTTCTCAAAGAATTGACTTTTTATAAGGGAATAAAATTGAAGTATTTTGTATATTAAAGTCTTAAATTTTTTTAAAGGAAATTCACATTTTATTTATTCATTAATTTTACTTATATTTTATTACTTTTTTCTATATGAATATAACTATAAATAATAATAAAAAATAAATGAAGAGCAACTTAATTTTATCTCTAAATAATGCAAAAGACTTTTTAAAAAATAAAAACAAAGATGGATATTCTGTCTATGATCATATATGTGAATTAATAAATTTTATAGTTGTTGAAAAACCAGAAAAATGCTACGAAAATTTTGAATTAATATCAAACCATATAAAAGAAAGTAAAAAAAGAAGTACTCAAATATTGAATAAAAAGGAAATAGACAATTGTAATTTAGACAGTTATGTTTTAAACGAGCATACAAAAAAAAAAAAAGAATGGTTGGAAAAATTAAAGTTATTATTTATAAAAAATTCAGAAATTAAAACAATTAATTTACCTTTTATGAGGGATTTCTATGAACAAATAAAACTAATAAATTGGGCAGGATATCAGATAAAAAAAAATTTAATTTTTTATTTAAATAATTCCATAAAAAAAATATTAGAACAATATAAGGATAAATTAAAATCATTAAATTTTTGGGGGATACTAAAGGGAATCAAAAATGATTATTATATCTTAGAAGGAGAATTAAAAAATAAAAAAGAAATTTTTTTTAATAAAATAAAAAATTCAAAAAAATCTTCAGATATTTCTGACGATGAGGAATTATCAACTAATAAATCCTCCTCTTCTTCAGATGATAATAAAGATTATTCACGAAAAGTGATACAAAAAAAAAAAAAAAAGACTGAAAAAAAAAAAAAAAAAAGTAAGCTTATCTATAAAAAAGAAGATTATGAATATTTTAATAAAAAAGTGAATAAAAATATATATTGGGTTTCAATAAATGGTAAAGATCAATGGGTTTTATTAAAATTTACGACACCGAAAAATATTAAAATTGCTAATAAAATTAATAAGATGCTTACTGGTGATCTTAATCATATAATAACTTCTTTTAATAAAATTACAATAAAAGAAAAACACTACTTACGAGCAATTATCTCCATTATTTCATCAAACACTCATATATCACCTAAAAATTATTTTATATTAAAGCAAAAAAGTAAAAATAAAGAGAATAATGAGGATAAAAAAAGAAAAAATAAAGAAGACGATGATGAAGAAGATGAGAATGAAGAAGAAGAAGAAGATGAAGATGAAGATGAAGATCAGAATGATGAATATCTGAAAGATGAAGATGACGAAATAATTGAAAATAAAAATTTTCAATTTGAAACAAATTTTTTACTAAATATTGATAATTGGGTGTATTTTAAATATAATTTTTTACCAAATGGTCATATAAGCTATCCTAAAAATATTGGATTTAAAAAAAGCAAAAAATATCAAAATATTATTGAAAAAAATCCTCCTTTAAAAATTTTAAGAAATATAAATGAAGAGAAACAACAAAATGATAATTTATGGAGATTAAAACATTTAAATCAAGGAGGTTACTATGGAAAGCATAACTTACATTATGATGTAATTATTATTTATAACCTATTATTCAATGGTGCATTTACAATTTATTATAATAAACAATATTTTAATTTTTATATCGGAAACGGAATAAAATTACAACATGCATTTCTACACACATATGCACCTGGAAAAATTCAGTCAGATAAAAGTGAATTATCAGAAGTAGATCAAATAAATTAATTATACTATATAACAAAAAAAAAAAAAAAAAAAAAAAAAAAAGTTAAATATTTCATATAAAAACTGTTCAATAAAGAAAGATTGTTTTTATTTTTATTATTATTTTTTTTGAACCATTTTATACAAGTTTTTTTTTATCACTATAAAAGATAAATATATGTTATATTTTACAATTATTTAAAAAATTTTCTTTAATAGATAACTTTTTGTATCTTCGATTTTCACAAAATAGACATTTTATAAGAAAACTGGAAAAAATTAAAAAGGAAATAAAATTATTAGTAAAGATAATTTAACGAAATAATTATATTAAAAAAAAAAATTTGTTAATTAAAATATAATTCCTAATAAAATACATTACCATAACTTTATATGTAAATAAAGAAATAATATAAATACTTAAAATGTATTAACAAAAGCTAAATTAAAAAAAAAAAAAAAAAAAAAAGAAAAAAGAAAAGGAAAATCGTATAAAAATATAATATGTAATTAATGAAAATTTAAAATATTTGACTGAAATCAAATTTTATAACAATTTTAATATTGTTTTAATAAAAATTGCATAAAATTTACATAATTTAAGAATCAGTGTGTAACTTTTTACTTCTCTAGCAAAACATGCTTATTTATTTTAGTATCTTTTATTTTTTTATATAGTATCAATATATTTCCATTTAAGTCATTTTTTTTTTTTTTTATTTAATTTTCATAGAATTTTTAACTTATTCTAATATTTTTTTTGCTTTATTTTGATACTTTTTTGAATTTATATTAATACTTTTTTGAATTTATTTTATTATTTCTTTTAATTTATTTTTACACTTTGAATTTATATTGATACTTCTTTGAATTTATTTTGATACTTCTTTCAATTTATATTGATACTTCTTTGAATTTATTTTGATACTTCTTTCAATTTATATTGATACTTCTTTCAATTTATATTGATACTTCTTTCAATTTATTTTGATACTTCTTTCAATTTATATTGATGCTTCTTTCAATTTATTTTGATACTTCTTTGAAATTATTTTGATACTTCTTTGAAATTATTTTGATACTTCTTTGAAATTATTTTGATGCTTTTTTGAAACTGTTTTGATATTTCTTTGAAATTATTTTGATACTTTTTTGGAATTATTTTGATACTTTTTTGAAATTTTTTTGATATTCCTTTGAAATTATTTTGATACTTTTTTGAAATTATTTTGATACTTTTTTGAAATTATTTTGATACTTTTTTGAAATTATTTTGATACATTTTTGGAATTATTTTGATATTTCTTTGAAATTATTTTGATAATTCTTTTACGTAAATATAATGAGTCTTTTATTTTAATTTTATAAATTTTTTATTTTTTATTGATACTTAATTTTTCATTGATATTTCCTTATTCCCTTTTGATACTTTTATATATTTAATTTGATCCCTCTTTTATCTTATTTTGATACTTCTTTGATTAAATTTTGATACTTTGATTTATTTTTGATCTTGAACTAGTTTTGTATATATTGATATAATTTGATTTTATTTAATTTTTTTTTTTTAATTTTAAACAATTTTATTTGACTTTTTATTATCTTAATTACCATATTTTTAATTTTAATTTATTATATATTCTCCTAAAAAAAAAATATATAATGCACCTTGTTTTCTTTTTATAAAAAGGATACAAAGTTTTAAATAAAAAATGAAAATCTCTACATGCATTTTAGAAAGGTTATAACTGTGATCATAAAACAAATATATCTGTAAAATGTAATTTTATAAATCTGTTAATATATGTAGAAAATTTAACAATTTTCATTTAAATAAATATATTATTTAATATTATTCTTTTAATTATTATAAATTGATAATTTCTATTTTCATTATATATACTTTAGTTTTCAAATATAGCTATTAGTAGATTAAGATTATGAATTAATATAGTACCTTATTTAAAAAAAAAAATTAAATCACATATATGTATATATTAATTTATTTATTACTTTAACATATATATATATATATAACTTAAAAATGTATTTTAAAAAAAATAAGTATAATATTTATGTACTTTTTTGAGAGTTTATATCCATTTTCAAGTTTAATTCATTTAACAAATTCTCTTTTTACTTTTCTTTCTTATAAATATTATAATGTTACAATTTGTTCTAAAGATCATTTTAATTAAAAAAAAAAATAGTTCTTATTGAAATCTTGAAAAATTATAATATGAAGAGTTAATATATATATATAGAACTTTTTTTATACATTCTTTTTTTAAAATAAAATATATTTATAAAAATTCTTTTTTATTATTATCCAAATTAAAAAAAATTGAAAATTAAAAATAAAAAAAATAACAAAAAAATAGTTATAATAAATAAATTATTATTATTTAAAAATTTCATAATGTAATGCTAAAGACCTATTTTAATTATAAAAGACATTTTTTTTTTTTTTTTTTTTTTTTTAATATTTACATTTAGTTGTAGTTGTTTTATTTTAATAAAAGAAAAATCATAATAAAAAAATATAGAAAATGCAATTAGTTTTTTCTTAGTAGATTAGTAATGTTTTTTTAAAAAAAAAAAGATATCCGAGATATGATTTTTTTTTTTTTTTTCTTTATTTGATCCTTAAAAAAAAAGTAATAAAAACTAAAATAAGTTTCATTATTCCATGTTATAAAAGTTTATTTAATTAAAGTAACCAATTTTTATCTCATAAAAAACATAATTTATCATTTTGCAATCATAGATGTAAATTTTTTATTTATGTAACTAATAAAATATCTCCTTGATAAATTTTTGAATTTAATAAATGAATATTGTAATATATCACTTTTTATTATTTAGTAAATCTATAAAATTTTTCTAAAAACACATTAAAAAAAAAAAAAAAATTCAAAATTTAATTTGAAATTTAAAATATGTAATTATTAAAAAATTTAATATTTATATATATAAAACCAGTTGAAACTCTTATAACATTAGATACAAGTTATAATACTTTTAATATAAAGTTGTGTTAAAAAATCAAACAAAAAAATATTTTTTAGCATTATTCTTTTTTTTTTTTTCTAGAAAAAAATTATGAATTTACAATATAGAAAAACATAAAAATATAAAATTAAAAAAGAAATTAGGTATATGAATAAAATATAAATAAATGTGTGTTAGTAAAAATTATAGAATTCAAACATTTTATTAAAAGATAAATATATAATTCCCAAATAAATGACTTTTATAGATTCTTTTATGAATTATTGGTTCATATATGTTTTTTATGATTCTTTCTTATATTTCATTTCTTATATATTAGTATGAACGGAAAGTTATTTTTTTTAACGGAAGTTTGCAAAACAAAAAGTAACGACTTTATATTTACTCTTTTAAGAAAGTTGCAATAAACTAAAGTTAATTTTTATATGTTCTAAATTTTAATAATTAATACTTCTAGAAGTATATATGAAATTCTTTTAAATTTTCATTTATATATTTAGTTTAATTAAACAAACTTAATATATACCACATAAAAATTTTTTTATTATTTCATTTTTTATTATAGCAATTTACTATATTTACATTATGTATTTGTTTTTTTTAAAGCATACTATTTTAAATATGTTTTTTTAAAACATTAAAAAGTAGAAAATACTGTGTTTATATTCTTTTCAATTTTTTTTTTTAATCACTTTCTTATTCTGGGAATTTTAATATTAACAAAAATGTTTGGCTTATTTTAAATAGATAAATTTAGTTTCAATTGAATTTTTAATATATGTTTATGAAAAAAAAATACATAAATAACCAAAGATTAAATATAAATATTATAAAATACTTAATAATGAAAACATTATTAATATTAATAAATATATGATGATAATTCAAATAACAAAGAAAACATTGGAAAATATGTTACTACTGAAGTAATGATTTTGTAAATTTCTAATATTAATTATAAAATATATATATCATTTTCTAAAGATTTTTAATCTATATTTACTTGAAGGAGGTAATATATATTATGTTATTTATGAAAAATTAAAAAAAAATTATATATATGTTATAATATGTTCTTGAAGAAACAAATAATTATATATGTAATATATATTACCTTAAATAGTATATTAGAATAGTAAAATTATGAAGTCTTCAGAAATAATTTAAAATAGTTTCAATATTATAATAAAAAAGTTGCTTATTAAAAATAATTTTAAAGAAATTAAAAAAAAAATTACTAAAAAAACTAATGATAATGCAAAAAAAAATAACGTTACAATAATTTAAAAGAACATCTTATCTAAGCCTATCGTATTTTTTTTTTTTACAGAGTGCATGATAATTTCATAATATAAGATACATATATATATATTTTTTTTTTTTAAAACATTTAAAATATTTCTGCTAGATACATATTTAAGATTTTATCTTTTTATTAAATTTTTAATGATATTAATAAAAATAAAATTATTCCATAAAAAAAAAAAAAAAAAAAAAAAATAAGAATAATTGAAAAGTTAACGTAAATGCTTTAACATAAATAACATTATTCAATTAAACATCTTCTTAAAATTAATATCCTTTTGTTAATAGAATGATATATAATACTCTTTTTAATTTAATTTTAAAAAAAAAAAAAAAAATAATTAAAGTTTTATTTTATATATCTATCATTTCGAAAGTTGATATACAATTTTTTTTAGATTTTTTTTTGTTTTTTTATTTGTTTTGAAAATATAATAAATTATTGAAAATATTAAAAATAAATGTGAATAATGATAAATTAAATTAATAAAATAGTAACTTTTAAAATTATTAATTAAAAAAATATAAATAATAAAAAAAAAGAATGTATATAAACAAAAAATATGTTATTAAAAAAAAAAAAAAATTATGTCCACCATTTAACTAAACCTAATCCATCTTGTTGAACAGTTGCCTTTTTAAAAAATATTGAAGATGAAAAATTGTAAAAATTATATATTTTTTTTTATATATTTCTTTGTAAAAAATATTTATGTTTGTTAGTATATTTTCTTACCGTTATAGACATCGATGGTATTGATTCATCTTTATTCATCTCATTTGGATCTATTTAAAAATATATATTTATATATTTTAATAATACTTGCATACAAAATAAATTAAGAAATTTTAGGATTAAATATTTTAATTGTCTTTTTTTTTTTTTTTTTTTTTTTTTTACCACTAAAA